TCTTGTCTTTATTAATTGCATCGCTTTCCTGCCAGAAGGACCAACATTAGTATTAACAGTCAAACTCACTTTAAATTAAGCTGAGCTAAAAGCCTCTCAAAGAAACTGTTTACGCAAAACTCGAAGGTGCAATTGCATCCTACCCGCCAAAACACTTGAGAGTCTAGTTTTTTAGAGGGGAGATGGGGTGAACTCATCCAACAGGTTCTCAGATCATCCACTGATATTTTTTGTCAAGAAATACTTAATCGGAACAGGTGGAAATAGTCTAGAGATCCTATTGAAATCGAAATACAAATAATCACAAAATAACCTCGCCATCTTTGAGGACCAATGAAAGAGTGGCAACTGATTAAATATTTGTGAAAGTTTCGATTTATTAGTTTTAAAAATAAATTCTTTAAATCTCTAAAATTGCTATTTTTATAAATTTATGATGATTTCAAACCCTGGCCTACTGGTTTATTTTGGCGTCAATAGAACTGATAACTGTGTGTTCCATTAAGCAACATTATTTCACATTTACTTAGACCATTACGTGTTTTATCTCCCTATTCACAGTATGGAATTAAACAGCTTTAATGGAGCCAAATCCTACTGTAAATATGGTTGATGGTATTCGGTTTGATACTGAGAAAAGTCAGTTGCTCTTTGATGGTTCGAAATTGGACCCAGCTGTTCCTCATAATTGGGCTTTAAATAAATGATCGTGACTGATGAAACGGCTGATCTTATCTAAACTTGTTTTAAAAAATATACGCAGATCATCTCACACCATTCCATCAAGGACAGGCCATTATGCATGATCCATGACGTCACATTAGTGGATAGATTCACTGCCATAACCCATATGTTTTAAGTAAATAAGCTGGTTGTTTGTCAGATTTAATGGTAAGACTTAAGTACTACCACGAATACTAGAAAAATACCAGTATGGATCATAAATAAACATAAACAAATGACGTTTTTGCCCCGAAAGTGAACAAAACCATTATACTAATAGCATTAATTAACATATGTTTTTGTTTACTTTTGGGCCAAAAACGTCATTTGTTTATGTTTATGACCCATGCCGGGTCTTTTCTAGTATTCGTGAGTACGACTATCCACCACTGCCGTAGTGTTGTGCTGCGCGCGCTGCAGCATGGCCTGTTTTTCTAGTGGGACCTCCCTTCCATACCCATCCTTCTCTCATATTGGAATTAAAATACGCAGCTAGGTGGCGTCCCCTTCTCAAATAAAATTGATTATGATTGCAATTTGCATATTTACAACTGTAGTAATCACACATATCTTTTTTTATACTTTTATTAAGTAGGCCTACGTTGTCAATTTTGGTATTTAATACTGTACAATGATGCCAAAGCGAAAAATAACTGTACTTAGTAAACATTACCATCTGCAAAAAAATGCATTTTTAAGTTAACTAGCTTTGTAAAACGAGTCAATATTCAATTAATGTGAATAGCCTAAACATTAGCTGGATTCCGAATACATAATCAAACAGGCCAACTACATGATCCATTGTTCACAGTTTCAATAAATGTTTACAAAAATACTATTCCTGGAAAAAGTAGTTGATAAAATACATTAATCAAAGTTGCTTTAATGCAACCTATTAATCAATTAAACATTGCGCTCAATAATTAATCGAGCATCACTAAAATTGCCAACAAAACACAAGCTAATCAATTAGTTTAATGTCCTTCACATTCCTATGCAGTTATCTTGCAAATTCGGAGAGTAGAATTACATTAATCCGCTAAAAAGTCCTGCCATTATAATATACCCTTGATTAAACAAGAATGCCGCCGCCTCTTTCCCGCCGAACCAATTACATGTTCTTCTTCTTAATCAGATCAGTTAAAGTTTGATGTTTCGCGACTTAATACGTAATTAGCGAAAATGCATAATTAAGTGGCGTCATTTGCATTGATAATTTCTATCTCAACGTCTGTCTTTTATCGATTGATCGAGCATGTGGATAGCGGAAAATGACACATTTGATGCGAGTTGATGATGGATAGTGTAATAAATTTAAAATGCTCTACTCATTTATTTTTGTCATCTTTTAGGATCAGTCGAGACAGTTCATATGTACGTTTTCTTTTCAATATTTGTAGAGGGTGTTTTACTACATATTGATTTATTTATTCTTTTTCGCAATTTTTCAATAAAATGCAACAATACCCGTAAACTATTATTCTCTTATTGTAGCCAAAGAGTACAGAATATGTTTCAAAATGTACCTTTTAATAAGAGAGGGACATGTAATTTCTGAAACGCACTCTAGACTTACTGGATGTTAAACAGATAAAAACATGTTTAAAATTTAGATTTTACAAAATGTCGAGGAGTACATCAGCTTAATTCAAAGTCAATTATCAATACCTGTCTCGCGGTGGATTGCTGGATGCTTGACATATCAGAACCACTTTCACTTTGGTCATAAATAGATGAAGATTGAGACTTGAGACGTACTTAGTTTGCAATCAGTGTTCATATTTCGCCTCTTACATTGTGTCGACACGCATGTCATGCAAATATAGGTTTTTTGCAACTGAATTTCAGTTATATTTTGATGGTCATCTCCAATGTATTCAGTGTTTTACTGGAGTACAAGATATATTTGCAAATTCACTAGTTTGACATTTTTTAGAAATCAAATCAAATCTCAACTTTATCGTTGCAGTATAAGCTGCTCTAGCCAGCTTTTTCATGCTAAGTTTGTTCCTTTAACTGTTAGGTTGTTAAATCACTTTCTCTAACAAAACCAATAATAATTATTGTAAAAACTAACTATGATAATATATGTATAAAATACCCCCGCCGCAGCAAACCTGCAGACTAAGCGAATTTCCATTTGCCTGATTGCATTTACACTAAAATGCCTCCTTAAAAATGTATTCCTTATTTAAATAGAATTATTTCAACAAGTAATTAGGTTTGCTGCAACAGGGAGGGTAAAAAAGGGTTTTTTGTTGTAAAATGTTAATAGTTTAGTAAGAAATTAATGTATTTTCCAAATTTGACCAAAACATGTTCATAAAAAAGCAAACTACAACAGTTGACTTATTCTCCATAAGAATATTATGGGAATTTTAAATTTACAATTTTTTTGAATTTTCTCCATAACTATTAGGCACACAATAACGCTTTAATATACTAAATTATTTGTTTTTTAAGCTCTACAAAATGGTATGGAAAGAAATTTTGAAATTTTGGGTTTTTAGGGTCAAAGATTGGAAAAACCTATTTTTACCCCATAAAATTCCCTATAAACCCCTGTTCCCATAGCCCGATCATGCTGGTTCGCGAACTCGTTTGAATAAATGTTGGTTTACACGTTTATACCAAATTTCATCAAAATCTGATCATGTTTGCTTGAGTTATCGCGCTAACGGACACACACACACACACACACACACACACACACATATATATACATATATATATATATGAATTTGAACGGATGGTGTTTTTGGCCTCTAGGGACTTCAAAACGAAAAAGTAAATCGGTCCAGATCTTACCATGAGTACTACGGTAATAGCTTGAAAATATAATGAAAGCAGTTAGTCTACGAGAACTAATACATCAAATATAACAACCTATGTCTCCTGTTCCAGAGATGGTAGGTTATCTGGACTGTATGGAGGAGGCCCTCAGGTACCTGGTGGAGCAAGAGAGATACCCAGACACTCACCCTGCTGTCCAGGGACTACGGAGACATCTGGCCGAGTACCAGCAGTGGCTCATGTCCAGGGTACTGGACAAACAGACTCCAGAAACTGCAGCGAGACACTCGAGCTAATAATCAGCCAGAAACTCCAGTTTGAGTTACAACAGAAGCTCCAGCTACAAGCTTCAATCAGAAACCCTTGCTTGGAACTCCAGGAAGATACACCATCTACAAACTCCTTCCAGGTAAAAACTTCAGCTGAGAGCTTCAACTAGTAACTCCTTTAGGAAACCTCAACTATAAAATAGTCCAGCTAAAACATCTTCTATATTAAACTCTATTTTGAACGTCCAGCCAGTGAAGTAAAACATCGAAACCACCACGAAATATTGAAAAACATACTTGAAACATGTATATAAAATTAAAAGCTCTTGTATTAATATAGACATCACTATACATAAAGTTACAGAATATTTTAACTAAACCCATGCTCCAATATACCTTATACTTCGTTATAATTATTTAAATTAAACATAACCAAATCCAATTCACTGACATACATTGTTTTACAACTCGTTTTCAAATCAATTTAAATCACATAGCTGTGACATAAAGTTTCAGTGACATCTCCAAAGACTTTCAAGGTACTTAAGTAAACTGAAACTATTTAGATACGAATGTTATTCGTGTAGAAATGCCGCAAGGTATATTGTTCTAGTCCAACAATTGTGTTAGTGTTGTAGGTATTTAGTTATCGTTAGTTAAGGTTCTTACATATAGTATAAAACAGCTTTAGGCAAAATTATAGGTTAATTTACATCATAATTGTTTGCGCTGCCCTAACGTACAATAATTTCTGTATTGATTTTTTATTTTAGAATAATTTACGAATTTGGAATGCATTCATACTGCAAGCTTAAAGTAACGTATAAGGTCCTAAAGTAAAAATGTCAATGAGAAACTTGCTTATAAACCTTTCATTTAAATGTTGTGAAAATATAATTTATTTATAACACCAACACAGTATTTTGTAAAATTACTTGGTATTACTGTACGGATAGGCTGGTTGTAAATAGTAGTAAAATAATTTGTTTATACGTGCCTTAGCTTTAAAAAGTAGAATAAGGCGATTTGTTGTTAAGATTTGTTTTGTATGTTTATGTTTATCGTATTTTTATTAAATCAATTTTAATAAACAGTTAATTTTTATTAACCTTCGTTTATCACGATTTAAAATAAATGATTGTCACAGTTTGAGACAGGTGAATTTCTCATAGTTAATTATCTTTTAGCAAAGTTGTAAATCTGTGTCTTGCGGATATGCTACATATGGTAAACTATGTCCCCATATTGTACTTAATTTAGGCATAGAACAAATATTTGAATTTTCATTTGAACTATTTCAACCATGGCTGAAATAACTCAAACCTTAAATATAACTGAAATAACAAAAAGTGGTATTTTCTTGTTATAACATTTTTTGAATGTTATTTTTATAGTTTGTTTTTTATATGTATTTTTTATATGTTATACATGTTTTTATATGTTGCATTGCCTATTGCTGAGGTCCATAAAGTGCTCGAAAATATAGTAACTAATGTTTATAAGTACTGTATTTAATTTTTAAATTTAATTATCAGGGTTATTTTCATAATTTAACATTTCTCCTTTTATAATTTAAAAGTAATTTTAAAATATTACATTCCACGTTCAAAGTAGGGCTGTTTAGTGTCAGCCGTCCCTTAAGATAACATGACAGACAGAAGACATCAGCTCATTAATTCGCACTTTATTGATTCAAATTTAAATGTATAAACAAAAATTTAAAGTACTGAAAATAAAACATACATAATTGAAAACTCAAACAATATGAATTGAAAATCTATACTGTGTCTGTACATTTAAAGCGGAGACAATATTTCCATAGTCCAGTAACCAAGCTTTCGTAAATACAAAAAATACCTTAAGCTGCTTCCAAACAAAACAGCTATTACAACCCTACTTGCGACGTTGCCACTTCGAAGGCCGCGGCCTTGTAACAGTCATTATACATCGATGGTAACAACATGGTATTATTGCTAAGATCCCATCATTCTTATCTATTGCCAAAGGAATGCCGTAAGCGGGGGAACTGGAATCGTCCTATATACTTGTCGAATGTCGACGCTATTGCGGTGGCAGTGGCAGAATTCGTTAGAACATGTGTTTGTGTCTGGGCGAGTTTTTTCTGCTAGCATTATTCAGCTGTCTGGTGGGGGTACATTGACCTATTAATACTCTCCCCTCACAGCTGCAAGCTGCAACCCTACAACAGTCTCACCCACCCCTCTATCCCTACAGCCCGTGCCATATCGCTCACCAAGCTGTAGGCAGCAAACAGCAAGTAAAAGAGGTAAGCTTTTCACCTACATAGCCTATTTTAAAACTGATTTTTGAACTTGATTTAAGTGTTTGGTAGTATTTTTATTTTTGCTTAATGCTTTCTCATACCCTATTTTAATTGATTGAAAAGGTTGATTTATTTTAATTTTCGATGGTTGTTTGATTTTGGAAATTATATTTGTATCGTATTGGCGGCAATTTAGGCTATATTTTGCTTAAGTTCTGCCCTGGTTTATTTCTTCCCGAACACTCACGGATGAGTAATAATTCTATTCAGTCTATGTAAACTTAGCAGTAGAGAGTAGTGTAGTATTTAGGTTATGTTATGTTTTGTTTACTCTCTTGTTAATTACAGATAGGCTATGTCTATTCCTGTGCGGAAGTGTCAAGTTTTTTTTTGCGTTTCGAATAATGCTAGTGTATTTAGAATTAAAAACCTTTTAAAAACATGTAGCCCGCTGTAAATTTAGTAGTATAGAAGTAGAGAAATGATTCGTAATATTATAAATTTCTGTAAACCGCTTCAAATCTATTTTTAGGACTGATTTTTGTTTAATGTTTTGAAGTAAATGATTTTCTAGACTCAATCTTATCCCGACTGAAAAAAATTATTGTCAATATACAAAGACGCCAAACATGAATGATGTCCAAAGTCTTACGACACATGTACAGTGCAAATAATTTCATTTTAGACTTGGACATTGGTTACACCAGGGAATGTTTCTAATTTAGAAACAGAGTTTTTAGTCTACTGAGATTGTTTAGAAAAACAAATTTATTAATAAACAAGCAGGCATATTTAGAGGCAAGCAGGAGGTATACCTTAGTGTGTTAGAACAAAAAGATAGCATTTCAAAATAATATTATAGATTGTATTAATCACGCTAAGGATGGGAAAACATTGTGGACTGCCATAAACAAATTTTGAGTATCGGAAAAATACGCTTGCAAGGATTGAACCTGAACAGTGGGTGCAACATTTCCAAACTTTATTGAATCCTCCAATAATGTTGGGAACAATAAGTTATGCTACGCCTTTTGACAATCAATAATATCTGGTATAAATTCTTTGTCAGTAGCAGAATATCGTTGGAAAGAAAGTTTAGTTGCTTTAATGCGGTAGTTAAATCAATTTTGTGTTATGGCTGTCAGGGTTGAAACTCATTGTAAATATGACTGTTATTCGTTTTGAAATAATTTATGTAATACTTACTGAAGTGCTAACTTAAGGATACGAGCAATATGTACACTAGTTATCATTATTTCTTTAGATACTTTCATATGGAATGGCAACCATACGAAGTAGGTATTTTATGCCAAGGATGAATGGGGATGAGTGTAAGATGAGTGGCGCGATCTTGTATTCTTGTAAGTGACCACGAATACTACAAAAAATACAGTGACTAAGGCCGACATATTCCTTAGATACAGCCGTTAAAGAATATCCCATACAACCAATGACAACTAAGGGGTTTATAGTGGAATCCGAACCCCATTTTTTCCTTGTAATGAACGAATTTGTCTAATTATCGTGATAGTACTGCGGATCGCCGTAGTACTCACTAGTGCGGACGTTGGTTAATCAACACCAGGGAGTATCGCACCCACAGTGCATGCCTATAAATATCCGGAATTCATGAAATCCAAGTTGCTGGATTACAGGACGACGCCACCGTCCCAGTCACATCTTATGCAGGTATGAACGGGATTGTACTTATCAACAATTTATTATCTTCTTTATGGAACACCCATTATAAAAAACCAGATGACCTGTTGCTCGAAATCGAGTAAAACTGCAACTTGTAATAAAAGAATAATCAACAAAAAGATAAACAGCAAAACCTCAATCAAAGAGTCACTCTAAAGTAATTTCTATGACTGATTATAAAAATATTATCTATACTATTACATCTATACTATTATATAAAAATCTAGTGGCGTATGTCTGTATGTTTGTTACTAATAGGCGCATAAACTACTGAACTGACTGGGCTTAAATTATACAAAAATATAGCTACCATACCAAGGACCTTTATAGGACTATTCACACTTCGATACTGACCGTGGGCTTCGCCCCTTTGACTTTAAAAGTTCTGAGATGAGGATTTTAAAAGTAAATATTGATTGGTCTCCATGGCTGCCATGAGAACTCATACAATGTTTGCAATTTGCTATGCCACCCAAATGTAAACAAGCTGAACTGTAAAACCATATTAATTCACAATTCCACAGCTGGTTTATAAATAGGCATATAATATTCTCTACAATCATGTGACATGTTTATTTATTCTTATATTTGATGGTTCATTGATTATTGATTTTATGAAATAAGTGAGATTGTATATCTGTTGCTGTATCCAACCCTAATTAATTATTTAAAATTTCGCTGATGTGAATAATTGTATTGAAAGATTTTGGTGTAAAAAAAAGTGAAATTATAAAGTTCACATTTACTAGAATCATTTTAACATTTTTGAACAATTAACATGTGTTTAGAGTTGGCCACACACCTTAAAAATTGAAACTTTTTTCTTAAGGAGATAATTAATTGTATATTTTTGCCATTTTGAGAGAAATATTGTTCACACCATTGTTTGCCTTTTCACAATTTTTTAAATCATAATTTCATATTACTACCCATAGATTGGTGATTGGTTATGATGTTTCCTAATCCGGAGGTAGCTACTACCTGTACTACTATCTGTATTATAACTTTAGACACTTCCTGTAGATTTCACATTCTATTCTAATGAATAACTTTTTACGAGCGTTTCATGGTCATTACAACCAAGTTCCTCTTAACTTAACCTACCCTCGACATAAACAATGTTTGAATGACGTTAAATTTCCTAATTCTAAGCTGATATACAAATATTTCAATTTAAAAACAACAATTAAAAAAACTAAGTTGTATATGCATTTGCCTTTAGTGCATAAATAGTAGGGGCTATAAATAGTAGGTTTATAAGTATATTTCTGTTTGTTTTATTAGTAAGAAAGTTAATGTTTTTGTTTGTTCACATAGTATACAGGGTGTCCAATCATAAGTGTTAAATAAAAATTTGCTTTAAACTACATGGTAATAGTGATTTGAGGTTCCCAACTTTAACAGTTAGCGAATAACACGATAGACGGATAACAATCATCTTGAACTGCAGTTAGTAGCAAAGATATTTAGAAGGCCGGTGACAGCTGTTTTAGGATCACAGCTGACAAGCAGATGGCTTTACCGAGTCAGCTGTTGTATGATGCTTCATAGCAACGTCAAATAAGTATAATATAGGCTAATTATAACTGATAAATAAAGTCTATGGCCATTTCATCTGTGTCTCAGATTATTGACTACAATGGTATGTAGTGTATAGTATTTCAAGGCTGTGACTTCAACCTGGAGGCTCGAATCCCACTATACTATCTCAGGAAGTGGTCTGTCTCTGTCCATTACTATATATAGTCTGAATGTGTTGTGAAGTAAACTGATTCCGGGCTGATTATGTGAGCGTGTCTGATAATGAGTTAATTTGTGATAATTGGTTAATTTACTGTTATCTCTGTCTGGGATGTGACCACCCAACGTCGAGATGAGGAAAAAAACTTAACTTAGACCTTTTTCTTAACTCAGTTTTTACATTGTTGCTTGTACCATAGAATAACGAATAGGCATAGGCCTCACCAGCGTCTCGCTCTATATTCCGGAGTGGGTTGCCGGAAGACTGCCCCCCCCCCCCCAGAAAACTACTCTCCGAAGTAGGTTCCTACGTCATGTTGACGTCAGTGATCGGGGGTGACAGTTTTCAATTAACGGACACTCAAGTTTCGTTGTCACACTGCTCTAAACTAACCTAGCCTAACCAACCAATATTGCTGTAACATTTCAAAATTCTGTATAATATTCCCCACATACCTTTTCTGTTATCAAACGGAATTACTTGAATTAAAATTACAATTACATAGCATCACGTTGTGCTAAGGGGGTAGTATTCCAGTCGTGGACACGGCTCCCATATTGGTTAGTTGGCAGATTTCGTGACGTCACGTTTCACCTAGGGGGTGGTTATCTGGGGGGTAGTATTCCGCATCCCCTTCTAGGTTGTCTACTGCTTCCTCCAGAAGGCTGAGGTGGCGTTGGATCTTCGTTCATCCGAGATTCACATATGATCGGAAAAGCGTTTGTTGGGAAGTAAATGTATTTATACAAATTCGTAGATTTAATAAATGTTTCACCAAATTATCGTGCGAATACCACGATTCCTTGATTTATATATATAGTTCAGAAAGTATCTACTAAGCAAAATATGCAGTATGTCCGTAATTCTACATAAGTCATAAACACAACCGCGCCACGTCAAAACACCTTTTAAAATAAAACATTTCCAATCCCATATATTTCACGATGAAATAGGTTCTAGACATTTTGCCCTCCCAAACTACCGAGGGGCAACAATCAGATAGCAATAAGGGGAACCGCCCAACAATCAAGTGTGTTTTAGATCGGACTCGCTCGTAAATAAGAGAAACAACACAGCTGATCAGCGGAGAAAAGTAAACAAAGGGATTTATATGTCAATAAATCGTATTGTAGCGCCAAGTGGGTGTTCCTGGGGATAATGAAGTTGTTAGGTTGTACAGTTGAGAGGAGGAGGGTATCGGACACATTCGAGGATTACACTTGTTTATTTTATGGAGGTCCGGCGTTGGGGATTATTGCTCGTAGCAGTGTTGTTATCGGTGGGAACATTCTCGTGTCTTGAGAGTCTTGGATTACACCTTAATCTGAATTCCTCCCTAATTATTGGTTTCAATAGGCGTGTGATATTTTGTATTTATCGTTTCTTTCAAGAGGTGTATTTTCGTTTTGCCAGGTCTTTACGAGACTTTTAACTGGTAATATACGCCTTATACACTTAATAAATTCAACTACAGTATTATTTATCCTTTGGTGTATACTGCACATCATTAGTGTTTTCAGTACGAGAATAGATGTTGAGTTAAACCTTTCAATTATATGAG